GCACATAACACATTGGAGGTTTGTTATTGAAAATGTGATTTATTAGAACACGTTTTGGTAGGATATGGTATTTTGTGGCTGTAATTTGTAATTTTGAAGATACATATAAGATTTATAATAGATCGATATTGCTCCATATTAATAGGGAATATGGAGCAATATCGATCTATTATAAGTGTAGCACCCGTATAACGGGATCTTCCAAATCAAGATATTTAAGGTAGTTTGGTTAAGCTTTTTGGCTGTAATTTCATATTAAAGATTCCCATAGAAAATCTCTTAATTCCAAAAATGATCAATTTTGGTATATTTCCAAATTTCGGTATTTTGAAATGTTTGGGCACATTTTTCAACCATATTAGCTATATGTATTTTTATACCCTCCACCATAGTATGGAGGGTATATTAATTTTATTTTTCCGTTTGTAACGCATCGAAATAATCATTTCCGACCCTATAAAGTATATATATTCTTGATCAGCGTAAAATTCTATGACGATCAAAGCATGTCCGTCTGTCCGTCTGTCTGTTGTAATCACTCTAGCGTCTAAACGAATTTGCATAGAGTCGTCTTTTGTCCGCAGGCAGGTCAAGTTCGATGATTGGCTATATTGGTCCACGTTTAGGCATAGCTCTCATATTAGGATACCCCCAAATTTTCAGTATTTCGGGGTTCTTAAGCGCGTTTTTCAACCGAATTCGCTGAAATTTGGTAAAATGGGTTCTTTTTGGATACCACATTTCTCCACTAAAAAATATAAATATAGGTCCACTTTTTCTGGTAGTACCTATAGGACTGTACCTCTCAATTTTCAGTTTTTTGGGGGTTTTGACCGGATTTGTTCACCAAATTGGCTGTAATTTAGTACTTTGAGTTCTTATTGCGTAGCAAATCTCTCCACTATAAATTATAAATATAGGTCCATTTTTTCGGGTAGCCCCCATATAAGGGTACCCTCCAATTTTCGGTATTTTGGGGTTCTTGAGCACGATTTTCAACCGAATTCGCTGTAATTTGGTATTTTGTAGTCGTATATGGTAACAAATCTTCCTACCAAAAATTATTAATATTCACCCCCTTTTAGGGGTAGTCCCCTTATAACCCCCTTTTTATATTAAAATAGCGGATTTTTTCCGTGTATTGGGGTTATCCCATATAGCTGTATTCCACCATAGTAGGGGGGATATTCGGTAGACGAAATTTTCAGTTCATAGCCCACATCAGCAACGTACACAGGATTTCATTTCAGGGGGGCCGGTAGTACAAAATGAAAAAATTCGCTGTTGCAAACATAAGTTTACTGTGAAAAAATTCATTCCTGCGTAAGTCCCTGGCCCACATAGTATGGAATTCTAAAACGATTTAGTCGATTTAGCCATATGTTGTAATAATTTTTCTCTCGAAATATATCGACATAAAAACTAAAACGTGAGGTTTGAGAATGAACTGTATCGACCGCATTTAGGACCAGGTCCTATATAAAACATCCTTCCTATTTAATATTTAGCGTGATGGACGGTATTGGGATTCAAAACTAAAATATTAGCTTGGAACTTGAGCTACATCGGCCCTTAATTAGGCCTAACCCTTATATAATGAAAACACCAAGTAGTTGCTAATTTCTACACAATGTTGTTAATATTGGTGCCGCTTTAGTATGCCTCATATATAATATTACCCTCTAAATTGGAGTATTTTCAGGATTTTATACACATGTTTCACCGTACCATGCGTTAATAATATATGTCAACATTTTAGGGTTTTGAGATTTTAGGAAAACCCCCATTGAAATTGCTGAATTTTCTATATGGTTCACAACAATCGATTGGAAGAATTGTCGTTATATGTATGTTCCCTATTGCTCCACAAGAAAGGTACATGCACTGGCGAGGATGAGATTTGTCATTTTAATTACAGATATGTCAAAACATTGAAATATTGGAAATTTTCTGTGAAGAGTTCATATACCCTTCAATGCCACAGACATATCGGTTGGAAAAAGCGCCGAAGACCTTACTTTATATGGGACAATACTATTTCAAATATCTATCTTAAATATTATGATAAATTCAATGGACATGTGTAAAAGGCTAGATCTTTAGCTAGCAAAATATTCGAATATTTGAGATGAGAAACCAAAAACACTATCTTCGCCAAAAAAAATTGCGTGTGATTTGAAGTTACTTCTATCCTCTAAATGGTACACAAAGTATGCCCACACCAATATTATATTTAATTACCTGTTAATTTTGGGATAAAATTATTTACAATAATATCTTTTCGCGGGTAGTCTACGTGATGAAAGAAAAATATTCTGGTTTTCCCGGGTTTTTCCAAAATACTTATGAATACTCAACTCCTAACAGGTACCTGAACATCGAATACACGTTGACCGCCATAAAACGAGGATTAACGCATTACAGCGAACTAATCCCGCGTCATAAAATCCCAAGTGCACTTAACGTGTGTGCGTGTGTGTTCAAGTATTTTGTAGTGATTATTATTTCAATAGATTTGCGATGTGAGGTTTAAAGTACTCGGTTTTAAAAATACTTTTAATCGATATAATTCCAATCTGGAATTTGGAATTTTTGTATCTATGCAAATCGGCAAATATTCCGCTAAGCTAAAATTATACCCATCGAACATATATTTCATAAAACTAAAGCGGACAAATTGGTAGCTATATGAGAAAGTCATTATATGCTATATCAAATTGAAGACAGAATTTATTCGCGATTTTTGCCTACATTCGTTAGAACTGATATGTCGTTTTAAACGATTTGTGCAGTTAATGTGTCACATTCACCATCGCTTGCTGGTGCTTCTTTCACCAAAGTCTCTTTTACAATCACAACAAATTTTGGTGACATATGGTCGAGCCAACCAGCAAAACAGTTCGCGGTGTTGCAAAGTGCTGAAAATAAATATTTATGTTTGCCTTCAAGAAATGGCACATTATGTCCGTCAAATCATCCGCCTACGAATGTCTAGCCACCATTTTGTGGCAACGACTCGCCATGCAATCGTCAAGTCAGTTCTAAAGAGGATTTCCATATGTTGCCTGAAGATTGGCGGGCGACAACGTCATTAGACGACTTTAAGTCCGTTCTTTCTTACTAATTTTAATGGCTATTGGCACGCGACGGCTAGCCGGTGCAGGTTTGACTTATTGGAATATTATCGAAATAAATCTGTTCAAAATTGCATATGATATATTAAGTGTTTATTATAGAAAAACGAATATTTGATGAATGGCATTGTAGCCTAATGCAGGACACTTAAAATCCTTATACAAATATGAAAAAAAAAAATATTGGAAGCCTAGTTCTGATTGTGACACAAAATCGAGTTGTGGTCTGGGAAATGGAAAATTCCTTATGGAGAATAATGCCATTGTAGAGTATATTACGAACCTAGGAGGACAAATTCCCCAGAGGGCAAGTTTTTGAATTATGGTACGATAATGTCTTAATAAAAGGGTACATTTAACCGTTAAGCAGACATTTAATTCTGTTACTCAAAAACTTGACCTATGTCGAATTTATTTTTCTGGCTTTGTCCTCCACACCCCACCATAGGATAGCCTGTGTTATGCCACCTAACCTATGATCGTCATGAAAATGTCATGTAGGTCGTGGCAAAGACGACACGTATGGTTTTTGGTAACGATCGGTTATTACAGTCGAGTACGCTTATAACGAACTTTCTTTATAGCGAACACATTGATATATCTTCCTTAAAACGATACCATCCAATTTTTATACCCTTCACCACTCTGTGGTACAGGGTATTATGTCTTTGTGCATATGTTTGTAACAGGCAAAAGGAAACGAGATATACACATGGTTACTTTTGAGAATATGCATAGAATCACTTTCTGAGTCGATTTACTAGCAGATAAATAGTTTAGTATTGTGAGTCTAGTATTCTGAGTCGATTTATGCATGTCTGTCTGTCCGTCCGTCCATGTATTTTTGTGAACAAAGTACAGGTCGCATTTATAATCCGATTTGGATGAAATTTGGCACAACTCACTTGTTTGGCCCAAGAACGAACCCTATTGAAATTGGGAAAAATCGGTTCAGATTTAGATATAGCTCCCATATATAGTTTCGTCAGATTTTAGGTAAATGGTGCACCAAACTCCCAATATTGGGCCGATTGAAACCACATTTTGCAAAGTTTACTGAATTAGGTCTAGATTGATATATTGTTGAAATCGTTTCAGATTTAGATATAGCTCACATATAAAGTTTCGTCCGATTTAATGTTAATGGTGCACCACAGAGTACTGAATTAGGTCTAGATTGATATATGCCAAGTTTGGTTGAAATCGTTTCAGATTTAGATATAGCTCCCATATATAGTTTTGTCCGATTTAATGTAAATGGTGCACCAAACAATGGTCCTGCGAAGATGCTATGTCTATTCTATCTAAAGGATATTGTGCATATAAGCACCTCTCAAAGTGGTGAAGGATATCCTATGTCGGCCCCGTCCGACTTTTGAACTTTCCCTACTGGTTATTACTTACATTTTTGTAGTCAGTTCCCTATAAATTTATTAGCGAAAATTTTCCCAAAAAAAAATGCCATCACATTTCCGCAAAATATAGTAGGAATAGAGATTCCAGTAGTTGATTTTAACAATTTTAAGGATTACTGACAATATCCAAAACAATGAAATATTTCTTAAAAAAAATAAAAAACGAAAGGTTTTTAATTTTCTAAATAATTTTTTATATATATTCTTTAAACAAAATCAATTAAATTTGGGAACAAGAGAACTTAAGCTGCTACATTTGACTTTTCTAACTATTACATACATACATATAATTTTTTACATATCTTACACAATTATATATTCCAATACTTATTTTATACTTTTAATTTAAATTAAATTTCTATATAAATAATAAATATAAAATACAACTACAACTAATGCTGGGAAATTTGTAATTCCCCATGTTTTTTTTTGTGGTTTTAGTTTCTGGTATTTACATATCTAGCAGATTTTGTACAAAATCAAAATCCATGTCAAAATCTAGGGAATTAAAACTTGACGAAGTTGAGCTGGGCATTGAAGAGAATCCCGACGAATTTGTACTACTTTGGTTGCTGGCGGTGGTATTTCCAAAGCTGGAAATTTCATCGGACATGAGGAAATCCAAAACATCTTTTTCGTTGGTGAATTTTGGCAATGGCTGGAGATTATCGAACAGTGAAGATTCGGCTGAGGAATAGAAGGCCGAATCAAAATATTCCATTGTATTGTTGTTGGTGGCTGGTAGTGGTGGTGATTCCAGATTGGTTTGATAAGTATTGACATCGGTATTGACGTAGATGGAATCATTTAGGGTTTGGGGAGAAAATTGTGAAGTGGCAGCGGGTAATTGAACACATTCGGGATATTCTTGTTTGATGGGGAGCTGGGGTAAATAGGCAGGATTTTGTTGTTGCTGCTGTGGCTGTTGTTGTTGTTGCAATGGCATTTGACAATGATTGTTGTTCTGGGTAGCCAAAGCGGTAATGTTGTCCTGGTCATTTGCACTGCCACTGTGAGAACGCAATTTGTTGTAATTCTTGGCACCACGAGTGGCATCCTTCTTGCTCTTCATGCGGCGATTTTGGAACCAAATCTTCACCTGACGTTCACTCAATTCCAAGCGATCGGCAATCTCAATACGCCTTGGCCGGCACAAATATTTGTTGACATGGAATTCACGTTCCAATTCGATTAGCTGTTTGCTGGTGAAGGCGGTGCGAATACGCTTAGCCTTGCCTTTCGAGTCGATTGATGAGGTGGGCGAGAGTGGGGCATTAATGGGCTCATAGCTGTAGGTGGGTGAGGGTGGTACGGTTGCCATATTCATCATGGGTGCATTTAAAATGTTTTCAATGATCTGGAAAATAAATAGAAAAAAATTATTAGTATATTTTTGTTTCATAAAAAATTATTTAGAAGATCTTCGAATTCGAGATCAGAAGTTCATCTTCCTTTTTATTTGTTCTTGTTGTTGTAATACTTACATTAGCACTCTGATATTGTAAAGATTGTGTCAAGTACTCTTCAAAGGTCATGTTGTTGGTGTTATTTAAATATTCCATATTATCGATTTGTTGTTGTAAATAAAATTTGTATTTGTTGTAAATCCAATAGCTGTGCGCAATATTTGCTGGGTGATGTTGTAGCTTTGCTTGTTGTCGGTTGACTGTGATGACTTTACCTTTCTGCATAGTATTTATATTGCCAAGGACCTGATTTGTCTTAGTCCTCTTACCTGACTACCTGTCTCCTTTGGCTGCTTGGCTTGCTGGTTGGATTTATTACTCCATACACATTTTGCAAATCAGAATTACTACCACATTAGCCTTAGCCTAAACTGGCAGACTACCTGTTCCCACAGCCAACCAAAATTCTCCCAAAATGTCTAGCACGAGGATTGTTAAGTGGCTGATGGCTGACAATAAGTCTAAGCGGCCTGGTCCTCGTCTTCGTCATCATATTCTAATACACCACTCGTATTATACGAATGCGTAATAGCCTTACGGCTAGTCCTGTCCCTTTAGCCAAGTGTGTGTATTATCCAGCCTTTAAGTCATCTACACAGAACTTGGCTTTAAGTAGCTAAGAGCATTTTTCTGTTACTGTTAACCATATCTTGTCTCAAAATAGTTTATGGGTTTTAGGCTTGTCAACCGGAAGATTTTCTTCGCGATATCTCCCTAATCAATGCATTTGGTTTTTCTTTCTCTTTGCGGAATTACATTCAAGCACTCGGATAAAGTCACATTCCACATTGGATGAGTCATTTTTTTAGTATTTCAATATGGGTGAAGAAGGTTGTAGGACTGGAAAAAAAAAACATTTTGAAAATTGTCATGTGGAAGTGGATTTTTTCCTTTAAACGGGAAGATAAAATTTCAAAACAAACCAAATTCTTTAATCGACTATCTTTACCCCCTGGAGGTTCGAAAAGGGATATGAATGTATTGGGAAAATACTTCCGTTTATGAAATTGAAAGGGAATCACATTTAGAGGCAATAAGAGGAAACATACTAGAATATTTCAAGATCTTCCTATGGAAGATAAAACATAATATTGTAGAGAACCAGATAATCCACTTAAAGAAGAACAAATTCTTATTATAGAATGTCAGATGGTCTTTATATGCAATACATGCTGAGGCCCCCATTTAGAAGAAAAGGAGTATTATTCGGTTTTATTTGTTATGGGCTCCTTGGAACATATTTTTAAAGAAGAAAAAGTGTGTTCTTATAAAAGATCAAATGTCCTTCATATACAAGATATAACGGTCTCCTTATAGAAGAACAGAAAATTTATAAGCCATTATTTGCAATGCTTTTCTTAGAGGAGACCAGATGATATTCTTATACATAGAAGACCATAATTTCTTCTTAAAGAAGAGCTATTCGCCTGCTTATTAGAAGGACTTTTTAGAGGTGTCCCTACAGAAGAGTTGAAAGTCTTCTTAGACGCCTCCTTGGAGAATAATGGAAAGTCTTCTTATGGAAAACCCACAAATCTTCTTAAAGAAGTTCTGAAGATCTGCTCATAAATCAAATTAAAACTCGAGAATGTTAAATTGGGCACCGATAAAAATGCTGACGATGTGACACTACATTGGTTACTGGTCGTGATATTTCCAAAGCTGAACATTTCATCGGGCATAAAAAATCCAAAACCTTTTTATACCCTTCACCACACTGTGGTACAGGGTATTATGTCTTTGTGCATATGTTTGTAATAGGCAAAAGGAAACGAGATAGGCACATGATTCCTTTTGAGAATATGCATAGAATCACTTTCTGAGTCGATTTATGCATGTCCGTCCGTCCGTCTGTCTGTCCATGTATTTTTGTGAGCAATGTACAGTTCGCATTTATGATCCGAATTGGATGAAATTTGACACAGCTCATTTGTTTGGCCCAAAGACGAACCCTATTGAAATTGGAAAAAATCGGTTCAGATTTAGATATAGCTCCCATATATATTTTCGTCCGATTTAATGTAAATGGTGTACCAAAGTCCCTATATATCTTTCGATTTGCACGAAAATTTGGTATAACGTACTGAATTGGGCCTAGAATCATGCGTGCCAAGTTTCGAGAAATTCGGTCCAGATTTATATATATAGCTCCCATATATAGTTTCGCCCGATTTCAAGTAAATTGTGCAAAAAAGTCCCTATATATCTTTCGATTTGCACGAAATTTGGCATAACGTACTGAATTGGGCCTAGAGTGATGTCTGCTAAATTTCGAGAAAATCGGTCCAGATTTAGATATAGCTCCCATATATAGTTTCGTCCGATTTCATGTGAATGGTGCACCAAAGTCCCTAAATATCTTTCGATTTGCACGAAATTTGGTATAGCGTACTGAACATAGTCTAGAATGATGTGTGCCAAGTTTCGAGAAAATCGGTCCAGATTTATATATAGCTCCCATATATAGTTTCGTCCGATTTCATGTAAATTGTGCACCAAAGTCCCTATATATCTTTCGATTTGCACGAAATTTGGTATAACGTACTGAATTGGGCCTAGAATCATGTGTTCGATTTCGATTTGCACGAAATTTGGCATAACTACTGAATTGATGCTGGAATGATGTGTGCTGAGTATCGTTAAAATCGATTCAGATCTAGATATATATATTTTCGTCCGATTTAATCTAAATAATGTACCGAGTTCTTATGTTGCATAGCGCTTTGAATTTAATCCCGAATAATGTGTGCCAAGTTTAATGAAAATCGGTTGAGATTAAGATATAGCTCCCTTATATTATAGATTGATTTTGAGTAATTGACGCACCAAGTATCCAATATATGGCTGATAGGAACAAAACGTACTGAAATTAGTATTACCTAACCTGTGACAAGTTTCGTTGAAATCGGTTCATATTTGGATAGCTCAACGGATGACATATTGATATTTTTTTGAAGTCGATTTACATACTTTTGTTCCATTGTAACAAACGAATGATATGTTTATGGATAGATCTAGGTCGTTCCACATTTAGATAAATATCACATATTTTATTTCATACAATTTCATGATAATAGTCCTGTTTAATATACCCATAGTGGTGAAGGGTATCATATAGTCGGCCCCGTCCGACTTTACTGCTTTTCTTACTGGTTTGTTGGTGTATTTTGGCAAAGTTTGGAGATTATCGAGGAGTAATGTTTTGGCTGGGGAATAGAATTCCAAATCTGGTCTTCTTATGGAAGACGAAAAAATCTTTTGAAAGGATTCTTAAAGATCTTCCATATATTAAATTCAAACTTGACGAAGTTCAGCTGGTCAACGAAGAGAATCCGGATGAGTTCGCTCTACTTGACCGTGGTATTTCCAAATCTGGAAATTTCACCAAACATAAAAAAACACAAAATGTATTTTTCGTTGTCGATGTTTGACAAAGGTTGGAGATTATCGAACAGGAATTATTCGGCCGAGGAATAGAATGTCAAGTCAAAATATTCCATTGAATTGGCTTCTCTGAGAATATCAAAAGAGATAATCTTCTTGATCAAATTAATCTTCGAAGGGACTCCCGTTGAATGTTCTATTGAATTTTCCCAACGAAGACTTAAAGATCTTCTCAAAAAATAAAACTCGACAAAGTGTATCTGGGCTTCGAAGGAACTCCCGATGAAGTCGCTTTACATTGGTATTTCCAAATCCGAAAATTTCATCGGACATAAGAAAATCCGAAACGTATTTTTCGTTTTCAAAGTTTGGTTGGTGGTTATCGAATAAGGAGGAATAGAATTCCGAATCAAAATCTTCCATTGAATTGGCTTCATAGAAAATACCAGACAATTTTCTCAATATTCCCAAAAAAGACTAAAGATGTTCTCAAAAAATTAATTAAAAATTGACAAAGTTGAGCTGGGCTTCGAAGAGACTCCCTATGAAATCGCACTGGTCATGACATTTTCAAAGCTGAACATTTCATCGGACATAAGAAAATCCAAAAAAATAGTTTGTGCTGGTAAATTTTGGTAAAAGGCCGTGAAGATTCGGTGGAAGAATTAAATTCAAAATGAAAAATTTTCATTGAATTGGCCACTTAAAGAAGACCAGAAAATCTTCTCAAAGAAAACCTGAATATTTTCATAGAGAAAACTTGGAGATTTCTCATAAATTAAATAAAAATTTGATTAAGTTAATCTCGACATCTAAGAAACTCCCGATGAATTTGCATTACATTAATCACTGCCTGTGGTATTTCCAAAGTTGGAAATTTCATCGGACATAAGAAAATCCAAAACATAATTTTCTTTGGTGAATTTTGATTGGAGTTTGGAGATTATCGAACAGGGATGATTAGGCTATGGATTGAATGCCAAGTCAAACAAATGTCATTGAATTGGTTTCTTAGGGAATATCAGAATCTTCTTCTTATAGAAAACCAGAAAATCTTCTCAAAGATGATTATCTTATAGAAGATGAAAAGATCATTGCATAGAAGACCACACGGTGTTCCCTTAGCAATCAAGTCTTCTTATAGAAGACCAGAAGTTTTTTTATAGAATTACTAAAGACCCTCTTCTAGAACACTACAACACTTCTTATGGAGGACCACAAGGTATTCGTATAAAAAATAAAATATCTTTTTACAGTAGGCAAGAGATGGTCTTCATATAGAAGATAAAAAGAACAGAAGGTAATCATATAGAACTTCAAAAGACTGCACGATTTTCCTTTAGAAGACGTGAAGGATTTTATAAAAAAGAAGAGATAGGAGGTCTATAACTTTCTGTGGTTCTATATTCTGAGCTTGGGCAATATTTCGCGATATTTGAACCCTCTTGACCGACTAGAGGTCAACAAATATTACAAATATTCAGTACAGCCCTTCTAATCACTTGTCCAGATTCCCTTCAACGTGGGTCGTGTTGTCATGTTCGGCTTTCAATTTTGGCCTATAGATCGACTCGAAAAAAACACCAAAAAATAAGTTTTCGGTCCACTTCATCCCAAAATTATTATCTGATCATCACCGAAAATTATAGGCGTTATCGGTGACTATAACTTGAACCTCATGGAAA